ACTTTTTTTTCATTGGTTGTGGTGGTATTTGAGGGTTTGGTGTGGTGGGGGGGGGGGGGGGGGGGAATTAGATTTCTTTGTACCTTGGTTCGGCTGCGTGGCGCCGTATTTGTAAAGTGGCCGTGCCGTCGGCCATGTGACGTCTGTGTTACCATACGTTTTCTGCATTGGGTCAGGTGTCTCATCACCTGGTTTCATAATGTGGTAAATCTAATGTTGTGCCTTTCAGGGTTGGCGGGACGCTGCGGTGTGGCTCTCTGCGCCCTGATGCAGGTGTTAAAACGAGGGGGCGGGACCCCCGCTGCTCAAAAAGGGACAGCTATCTTTTGCTTGAGGTCTACCCCCTTCCCCCCCGTTTTGTTTAGATGTGGGCACTTTCAAGTTGCTTCGTTTTATCATTTCTGGCATGGCGTCTAAAAACAATACGGACTCTCTCTGCAGTTATGTAATGCAGTATCACAGTTCTGGGAATTGCCCTTAAAATAGAGTTGCCGGTGATCTTGTATCAGCGTTGCTGTCTGAGTGCTCTCTCCCTCTTTCTCCCTCTATCTCTCTTTCTCTCCGGTCTTCTCAACCCACCACCTCTCCTTTTTTTTGCTCCTTTTCTTTTACTACTCCCACTCCAACTCTTCCTTCTTGTGCTTTGCCCCCTTTCCTGTCCTCCCCACCCCCTCCCTCTTAGCGCTCCGTGCTTCCAACTCTCCCTTCACCCACCCCTCCTCGACTTCTTTGCTGGAAGTTGTGGATTTGGTGTATGCATAAAGCTCAGGCAAGGCTGGCTTTAAAGAAAAGGCGTGCCTAAAGCAGCAGATTTTTTTTTATTGGAGCTTACATTGGGGTCCTGTGTATGCATTTCTTCCCAGCTGCAGAAACCAAGCCCCCCCTCCATGCCTTGGACTGAGGCTCTCCTGGGAGCTCTGGATTTTTTTTTTTCTTTCTTTCTCGCATTGAAGGCTTGAGTAGCCCATTAACTGGGTTAAAAAAAAAAAGAAGCAGAATTCAGATTTTAATTAGGTCTTTGTGGCATTAATGTACAAGATTATGGCATATCAACAGATAGACGTCTTCGTTGCGCTTTGGAAATGGATTTGAAGAATGCGAACATCACAAGCAGAGGTGGTTCTAACAAGAATGATGCCCTGGTTATCAACCCACCCATCCCCTCCTCACCACTCAGCTTATTAAAATGTGAGTAATTGTCAGACTTTTTTTTTTTTTTTTAAATCAGAAAACTGGTAACTTAGTCTCCCAGTACTGGGCAGCAAGCAAGGGAAAATTGCTCCAGTGCAAATGCGTATAAGTAGTAGCAATCTTGCTCAGGCCAAAACAGATGAGGTAAATTCTATTTTCTCATTCGTGGGCACCCTACCCTCTCTGCCGCCCTGGGCAACCGCCCGTATCAAAAACTGCCACTGACTGTAAGCAGGCATGGGCTGGTTATCGGTTGCAAATTATACCAAGGTTTTGAAAGACGGTCGTTTCAAAACTGCTCAAATTTTGTCACATCATTCCACAGCTGACTCAGGTGAAAGAAGAAGTAGTATAGTGACCAGAGTTTAGAGTGGCTGTGCACTGGCGGTCAGCTGACTGAAATGTGGTTGCTCTACTTTTTTTTTTTTTTTTCCCTCGCTAACAGCAAGGGTAAATTCGTCTGGATGTATTTCTGGAAACCAAAAGCAGACAGTCACGGGGTGGAAACTACCCACCGCTATTAAGGTAACGCTGTTTTGAAACCTCTGTCAAGCTGCAGTCAACATGTGTGTTAAGCCGCTGACTGCGGGGTGGCTGCCCTGGCAGATAGTCTGACACATATTAGCTTGTATTGGCTGCAGGTGGTGTTACTCTGCAGAAAGCAGAATGACAAAAAGCTCTGACGGTTTCCACAATGAGCAGTTTTATTTGGAGGGGCTGGTCTTTGCTCAAGTTTATGTATCAGAATTAAAGTAATATACGGTGTGGAAAGAGTTGTTATAGCGGTCATATTTTTTTTTTGCAGCCGTAGGGGAAAGTTGGTTTTCCAGCCTTTTTAAATAACAATTACTTTTCTATTTTGGTATTTTTAGCAAGTGCTGTGAAGATGTGGCGCTTCTACACAACTTTATAAGAATCTTATACGACTCCATGTTTACTTCCAACAGATTTTTCTTTTTTCCCCTCATCCACGGTTAGCTCGGTGTAGCTGCCGCTGGAAATATTAAAATTACTATGGTCTGTTCCAGGTGGAGGAATTTGAATCTTTTGTTCGTCTTACAGTTGACTGTGAGTTCCCGTTCTGGTCTCCGGCTCACTGCAGGTCTGCTGATTGAACAATGAGCCATGTGTACGTGCCGAGCGTACCATGAAAAGGGTTGTCCTTGTGTTTTTGCATGCGCAGGTACTCGTCTGTGTGCAGCTTATTGTGTAAAAACCATCAGGTGTGTGTGTGTGTACGCGCGCATAATTTCTCTGACCAGCTTGTAAACCAAAGATCAAATTTGAATTTTGTTTTTCCTTTTTTTGTTTTGACACCTCGGCTTGGAGAGAGTAAGAAATGGCGCTCTTTTTAGTTGGTGGTTACAGTGTGAAATCATGCATCTTGGGGCGACGAGCAGATTTCAGTTGCAGGTAGGCGTAGTAGTCGAGGTTCGAAAACACAAATACACACACGGCAACTGAATCTTTTTTTTTTTTTTTTTTGCCACTGCAACATGATGACGTTTCGCTCCGTGACGACATCCACAAGTCACTGTGCTGCAACCTTCCAGCCCGTTACACAAAACATGTTTCTTCTTCTTCTTCTTCTTCTCTCCAGCTTACCTGCGTGACGTCACAGCGCTCTCAGATATTCAAACGAGTCCGGCCCTCGGCTCTGAACTGACAAGCCGCGCATTTGAACTCGTCCCGATATAGCTTTCGCGCTCTAAAAATAAATGCCGGGTCAAGGAGCGGAGACTCTGGCTGCACCCACACGCATGAGCCTGGCCTGGCCGGGGCAGGAGCGCTCCTGCTGCCGTCCTCTCCGCCTCTCGCTGTAAAGGCCATCTGCCGCGAGGTGCAAATGTACCCCCGTGCGCACCGACCAAGGCCCTTTTCCCTCTGCGTTCCCATCCTGCCGTAACGGCAGCGGCGACCTCGAGTCGACATTGACTGGAACTTTTAATAAACGTCCGGCGCTCGTCTTCCTGTTCAGAAATCGTCTTAAGAATCTTGTGGTGTTGTGTTTTTGTTTTTGTTTTTTTCCCTTAACCCGTGCTGAACAGATATCTACCCAAACATTATTGCTATGGGCTTTCCAGCAGAGCGACTCGAAGGCGTGTACAGAAACAATATAGATGACGTAGTACGGTGAGTGATGCTTTGCGCCTTCTTCCGTGACATTTTGTTTGGTAAATTAATAGCATTTTAAGATAATTGAGTTTTATTTTCTGTTGACCCTCTCGACAGGTTTTTGGATTCAAAGCATAAAAACCATTACAAAATCTACAACCTGTGAGTGCTCCCCGTACTGTTTGTCTCTCGTCCAGTTTGTTTACTTAGAAACTTCCTCCTCGTGCTGGCTAACTGCAGTTTGCTTCTTCCCATTTCAGCTGCGCAGAAAGACACTACGATGCTGCCAAATTCAACTGCAGAGGTAGGCTGCTTTACCTCCTCGCCGTCGGACTGAAAAGCTTTTTTTTTTAAAAAAAAAAAGGTAAAAAAAAAAAAAGATTGACCGTTCTTGCGCTCATCGCTCTCCGCTTCTGTTTTCCACTCGCTCCTTCCCGACACTGCGTGGGCCCGTCCTGCATCAGTTGCACAATACCCGTTCGAAGATCATAACCCCCCTCAGCTGGAGCTAATTAAGCCATTTTGCGAAGACTTGGACCAATGGCTCAGCGAGGACGACAATCACGTGGCGGCTATACATTGTAAGGCCGGCAAGGGCCGCACCGGGGTCATGATCTGCGCCTATCTGCTCCACCGCGGCAAGTTCACGGATGCCCAGGATGCGCTCGACTTCTACGGGGAAGTGAGGACACGGGACAGGAAGGTGAGAGCTGAGGAGAAGAGGGAGAGAGTGTGTGTGTGTGTGTGTGCGCGCGCGTGTGTACGACTGGAGACGGATTGCTCAGCCTGGAAATTGTGGGATTTGATTTGCTTTTAATGTACTTTGTACCTTGTTCAATTTTCTAAATCTTACTCCCTTCATACGTCCCATGTTTCATTCCCTTTTTCCCCATGTTTTGCCATCCTCTTTTTATTATTTTGTCCTTCCTTCATAGCTTATCTTTCCTCTCTTACTTGTATACTTCTTTCTCTATTCCTTTCTTTCTCCTTTGTCTTTCTGTTGACTGCAGTCTTTTCTCGTTGATTTTCTGCCTTATTCACCTTATTCCTCTTTGTCCTTCCATCCTAGCTTCTTTCCTTTTGTTGTGTCCTTACGGCCTTTCCTCTGCTCATCCTATCTTGTCTCCTTCTTTCCTTCCTACATTGCATCCATTTTTCCATCCTTGTGTTCAACATCCCTTCCTCCTTTCCTTGTCTCCTTTTATCTGTCCTCTCATCCTTGTCCCTTCCCGTTATCCATTCTTCTTTCCTAGCATTGTCCCTTCTACACTTTGTCTTCCCTCTTGTTCTTCTTTCTACTTTAAAATGAATGTGAAGGACCGAGAACTCTGGGAAGTTGAGTTTGGAGAAGCATCATAATTTTACAAGAGGAAGTTTGCAGAAACTGTGTCATATTCTGGGTCGTGTGCGGCTGAGCATTCAACACTCGCTGCCCGTCTAAAATTACAAATTTGTGTAGATTTCAGCATAAATCCCAATGAGAAGCAAATCGAATTTTAAATCTTCTTAGTCTGTCTCAGAAAGTCGTCAGTAAATGTTGTTGCATGTTTTCCAAAGCGTACTTGGGATCCTAAAAGGTGGCGTTTGAACATGTCGTCAGCGTCTAACTCCACATTTCCTCTCCTCCCCCGACGCGGCGGGTGTCTTGCAGGGGGTGACGATCCCGAGCCAGCGCCGATACGTGTACTACTACAACTACCTGTTAAAGAACCAGCTGGAGTACAAGCCGGTGGCGCTGCTGTTCCACAAGATGGTCTTCGAGACTCTCCCCATGTTCAGCGGGGGCACCTGCAGTGAGTCAAGTTCATGTTTGAATTCAGCTCCAAACCAGGGTGTAGGCATGCATGCTGCCGTTCAGAATGGAGAGAGAGTAACTCAGACTCAGGGCTCACCCACGCTGCGGCGTGGCGCCATGGAGGACAGCAGCTCCTCCGCGGTCGTCCGGTGTGCCGGTAGTTTTTAGAAATGACCCGCGGCTCAAATCGGTCGCCTTGTTTTTGGACATTTGGCAGAAAAGTGCAGCTTAATGTTTGTTCACCTCTTTGTTCAAAAGCAACGTCAACACGTTGCCTAGGATCTGCGAAACGTTGTGGAAGTGTCACGGAGTTTTCTCGGGCTGTACGGAGACTGTAGTAAACGCAGCGCTGCTCCTCCCACACCTGTTGCTGCTTACTGCCGTTCAACCTACTCAAAGACTGCCACTTTTTTTTTTTTTTTTTCTTTCTTGCTTGAAAGACAAAAGCCTTCTGAAAAAACATTTGGCAAAAAAAAAAAATACTCAGCAGCATTGGCATGGAAACTAAAGCTTGCTTTAAAACTGCAGTAAAAATATTAATTATACATTTTCTAAATTATGTAAAAAATAAAAAAAAAGTTAAAAGAATCCAAATATAATATTGATATGATGGTAATAAATATTGCCAATACTCTTTATTTAAAAATAATCTGTCCTAATAATTTTGCTGCAGTGTAGATAAGTGTTGCTTTTTTTCCCTTTTGATTCATTTGCACTAATTAATTCAAATTGTTTTTTTTTTTTGTTTTTTTTTTATTGATTTTAAATCATTTAAAAATGTTCTCATAGCAGCCGCTGCCTACCTGTGTTCTTGTCTTTTGGCTTTCTATGCTCGGTCGTAGGAGGAATTAGAGCGTCCACTGTTTAATCACGGCACTGGGGAAGTAAACGCCGCCGCCGCTCACAAATAAACAAAGCTTTCACATTAGTGAGATCAACCAGGCTTTTTACTCCAGTAAAGTCCGCCAGGAAGTAGCTCAAAGTTGGAAGAGGAATAGAAAACGTTTTTGTCTCCAATTTTGTTTTGCATACAATGGCCGGCCACACGGCTCTTAATAACTCAGTTATCAGTTTGTGGCAGTTATCTGTATTGACACATCATTGCGTGTTTGCGCTGAGCACAGAGCGATTTGCCCGTTGTAAAACGGCGCGTCTACGCCAACGTTTACACTCGTAGTCGCCTGTTTCTGCCGCCAAGTCGAACGCCGCCTAACGCTTCCTATTTATTTAGTTGTGTTTTTTTTTTTTTATGTGCTGTTTAGTGACACTCCATGCTCTTGAGGATGTTTATAGAAACAATGAAATAATTCAGCCTATGTGCTCAAAAGTGTGTGTGAGTCACTTGATGCTGAGCTGCTCTTGTGTCTAAATTTGTCCGTTTTCAAGCTGCTGGTCAGAATTAAAAGCCGCTCTTCCTCCTTCAGTGTTTGTGGCTTTCTTGCCTTAATGCCGGAACCTGCTCTTCGGCCTTGACTTCATTAATCCTTCTCTTTCCTGCTTTATTCTCCTTTTACTTTAAAACCGAAGCCCTATTCTGAGAAATCTCCTTAAACGTGCAGGAGTTTATTTTCCTCCGCCCTCTAGCGAACCAAGTTTTGATAATCTTGTTACAGATAGCTCACCAAAGACGCATTTAATGATTTTTTTTTTTTTTTAATAGTTTTATTGCAATTATACGAAGTTCCCCCTTTGTGTTGCTTCCCCTTTTGTGTATCTCACCCCGATTGACGTCTTTTCAGAACTGTAAGACACACACATTCCTGTGAAGCTGCACACATGTATGTTTAGGAAAAGTTACCCTGATGCAAACATGTGAATATTTGTGTGGAGCTCTTGTGTTTATGCCTGCTGTGCTGTGAAGCCCCTGACCAGCCAGCCAGGCCCTGCTTGTGATAATTTCCTTCTTTCTCTCTAAGGGGACAGTACCGTTAAAAACAGGAGCGAGCCGACCCCTCAGGGCTTCAAGAAAGGGAATTGGCATTGGGGTAAATGAGCCTTTCATCCATTATTATTATTTCACTCATTTGCTTTTATACGGCCCCAGAGACGCACCAGGCCGGAGCAGTCTAAGGTAGACATGTTGCCTGGCAGGGATAGAATAGAGCTTTAAGAGACGCATAAAAAAGTAAAAAAAAAATAAAAATCATCTCCAGCACCCCCACCCCACCCTGACAGGAACCGGAGAGGGTCAAAATTGGTCAAAGTGCAAAGTGTTGCGCTTGTCTAAAACTAAACCGTATCTGTCAGAATAGGGTTCCATGTCTCTTATTCTGGCTCTTTTTTTTTTATTTATATATATAACATTTGTGGTCTGTTACTTACCATTTCTTCTCTAGTTTTTATTTATTTATTTTTTTACATTAAACTGTCACTTTTGGGACTCACATGGTGAGGGGGAGGTGGTGGTGTGCTGTGTCTTTTGTCCAGCTTGTGTAATAACAGTGGTAATGTCCTGTCCTGATTCACTCCCTGCTTCTCCTCCCCTCCCTCATCTCTCACATCATAACCTCTTGTTGCTTTGTCTCAAATTCTTTTTTTTTTTTTTTTTTTTTTTTTTAATTTTTCCATCATATATCTCGCTCCCTCAACCCTCTGGCAACATCACCGCTCTTTCCGCAGATCCGCAGTTTGTCGTATACCAACTCAAAGTGAAGATCCACACGTCGAACCCGGCTCACACCAGAAGGGAGGACAAGCACATGATATTCGAATTCCCCCAGCCGCTGCCCGTTTGTGGCGACATCAAAGTGGAGTTCTTCCACAAACAAAATAAGATGATGAAGAAGGTTAGTTTGCTGGGCTTTTTTTAAATTTTTTTTATGTGTTGTACTTTCACAAAGCTTGATGAAAGATCAGAAGTAGGTCTTCATCAGCTCTCTCCTCTAGGCTTTCTGTAAAACTGTAGGATTTATTGACGATAAGAAACGCAACGAGAGAATTCATTAAAAACCCAGATTTGTGGCCAATTTCCAGCTATTAAGCTTTAACCGATTGCTCTTTTAGTAATACGACATTCAAAATATTGATTTGCAGCCTCCCTGTTGTGAGCCTCAACAGTTGTTACGGTAACATGCTAAATGGTGTGAGAGAGCTGGAAAACAGAGTTTTACCCTTGTAAAACCGAATCGTTAGGATTTGGCATTTTGTTCTGTCTTTGGGATCCTTAATTATCATTGAAGGTGGTCGGTAAGAGAGCATCAAGAATATTAAAACACCGTATCTCAAAGTGAACCATGTCTTTTAAAGCTCTGTCTAGTTGAAGCTTCATTTTTAAGTGAGACGGGGAAGATATTCTTGAGTTTTCAGGATGTATGACAGTCAGCTAGCAACTAATAATCAGATTGGCAAACTACACTTAAGTATTGATTAAACTTCCACCACAGTTTTGCAACCTTACAGGAACTGCCTGAAAAGAAGCTGCTAGCGATGCTAAACTTGCCTTTTGCTTCAGAGCTTCCTCTTAGACTTCGCTGAAGGTCTATTTCATTGTTTCGTAGGGATGAAGCAATATGAATATTTGTCCCACTATTGATATCCGATTTTAAAATTACTCTTAACGGCTGATAACTTGTTTATATTCTTCATTTTTGACAGCTAAACGCCCCATAATCCTTTGCAGCATCACTGTCACATGACTGAACAAATGCGACACCTGAAGCACAAACTGCTTAGCATGTAAACATGCTAATAACGGCCCAGTTTTAGACGTTTAAAAAAATGACTAATATTGGCCGATAAAGATGTTGATACTGACATATTGTGCATCTCTAGTGTTTAGGGAACCTGGACTGCAGTTGCGTACCTCCTAGTTTTGGCATTTAATTAAAAATGGGAGACAATTTTATATAAACAGGTCAAACTTGGTCTGAATTAGTTTGATTTGTGAAACTTTCACCAGAGAATAGATATCCTTAACTCCTGATTTTCATATCTGCCACATTCTGTGGTAAAGATGAAAAGGAGTACGACTTCTGTAACAGGTTCAGACCTCCTGGCATCTGCTGAAGTTTTTTCCTGGTTAATTGTCAAATTAGTTTTCCGCAGTTTGGTATGAATTGTGTTATAATCAAAACTGTTAGTCTTGGCTCCGAATACGACTCGAATACTAAAGAATCGGCGGTGCTTACGTACGCTGCATTCACTGGTCAGTTTTTAGCTTTCCGAACAACCAGAGAAGCCAAAGACCTTCCGATTCCGGCCCCCGACCAGTTTCTCCCTAAATCTGTCCAAAATCCTTCTTGGCTCACCTATCTCTCCTTGCCGTCTTTCTCTTCCGTCAGGACAAAATGTTCCACTTCTGGGTGAACACATTCTTCATTCCTGGACCAGACGAGAGCGGGGAAAAGATGGAGAACGGGGCGGTGAACAACGTGGAGAGCCAGCAAGGAGCGCCGGGCCTGGGCCAGGGCCAGGTCCAGGTCCAGGTCCAGGCCCAGGCCCAGGCCCAGGTCCAGGTCCAGGCCCAGGCCCAGGCCCAGGTCCAGGGCCAGGTCCAGGCCCAGCCGCAGGGCGCCGAGACCAGGGACGGCTGCAGGGAAGGCGACAGGGACTACCTCATCCTGACGCTCACAAAGAACGATTTAGACAAGGCTAACAAAGACAAAGCCAACCGCTACTTCTCACCAAACTTCAAGGTAAGCAGGGACGGGAAGCCGTTTTGGGTTTGTCGTCCACCGGAGAATTGAACCCGTTTAACCGAAGCTGTTCTCGATTTCCAGGTGAAGTTGTATTTTACGAAAACCGTGGAGGAGCCTTCAAACTCCGAGGCTAGCACTTCGACGTCCGTCACCCCAGACGTTAGCGACAATGAGCCAGACCATTATCGATACTCTGACACCACTGACTCTGATCCGGAAAATGAACCTTTTGATGAAGAGCAACACACACAAATCACAAAAGTGTGAACTCTTTTAAAGCAGGAAAAGAAGAAATTATACACCTGAATTAAAAAAAAAAGGAGAAAACTTGAATATAAACTCAAAAGAAGAACCTTTGTCCCTTTCCCTCCCCCAGACGGCAATAGAATATCATGTCGAATGCCAATTTTAGGGAAAAAAAAAAGATAAATATCCTGACCAATATATTGTTTCTGTTTTTATTTTCTTTTTTTTTTTTTTTTCCTTTTTGGCACGGCAATGTACCATGTGCGAGGTATTGACACTGTTGCCCCGTGGGAAAAGGTGCTGTAGCTATAAAGATGTGTTTATATATATATACATATATATATGTATATACATATATATACATGCATATATAAACAAACTTTTTTTGTGTCAAAGACAATGGAAAGAGTACCACAATCAGGAGACGGGAGTTGAAGTGTGGGAGAAGTTGGAATGAAATACTAGAACTAGAACTATGCTGCTCCTTCTCCTGTCTAAACCAAGGCCAGTGCTGCAGTCACTTTGTTTCACTCCCTCTCTCTTCTTCTCCCTCCCTCCCTTCCCGCCTTTTTTCCTCCTTCCCTCCTCTCATCTTTTGCTCTTCCCTCCTATCCTCCTTCCTTATATTCCTTTACTGTGAATGCTTCTTGTGCTCTTTGCAGGCTGTCTCATGTGACTTTTGGCCTTTGTGCAGTGCAAACTGCATGCAGGCAGTGGGTTGGGGGTGGGGTGGGGAGGGTCGTGGGGTGGTTGGGGGAGGGTGGGGGTTTGCGAAGAGGCTGTGATGATGTCTAAAGCATTGCCATTCCTGTTCCCACTGTGTATACGTTAAATTATGCAGAACAAGGCATCCCATGTAATTGTTAATGTTTTTTTTATCCTAAGATAATAAAAATATAATACACAAAACAGCAGGGAGACCGGAAAGTGTTTGCAATAATGTCAACACTACATTATTATCTTTTTTTTTTTTTTTTTTTTTTGCATGTATTGAAATTGGAGTCCATCCCAAATAAATGTATGCAATGTTGTCATTTCTTACAGAATCCAGCCTTAAGATGCATCTCCCCAGTGTTTGAGTCGTGCGTAGAAAATGCCTCGGCAGCTTTTTGTCTTTTTTTTTTCTTCCTCCTTTCAGCTCCCCTACTAATATAAATGGATGCGGCCGGTCGCCGGTCCGAGTGATCGTTGCGAGCGACAGCAACCCAAGACCGCGTAGCCCACGCTGTTAAATGTGGGTAAGTTGGAACATGCGCAACAAGTCGGGGGAGGAAAATGAGCACCGGCGAGGGGAAATATGCTGCAAAGCATGTTGTCGTTGCAGCTGTTCGAGGCGCGCTTACAGTAACTTCCTGCTTTAAAAGGTCAGGGCCGCAAATAGTCGGGACTCAAGGTGGGGAACTGACGGAAGGATTGTTATTCAAAGTTCAGCTGAAGGGCCTGTTTTGTCTGTATTATTAAGCTGTACTGGGGCTGGTGTTTGAATTCAAAATTCAATCAGATTTTCTGACATATTTTGGAGCTGAAAGAAGCTTGACCTCATGCTAAACCAGGATGCTTGCGGAATGGAGAAAAGGAAGGAAAGTGTCCATCCCGAGAGGCGGGGAGAAGCCTCGGGTAGGCTAGCCGGCTCCACTATCTTACCCCAATGAGAGAGTAACAGGATTAGCAGCCATGTTCGTGTGATGGGAGCGCGAGACCCTGGAGAAAGCATGACCCAAAAGCCGCCTGATAAAATAAAGTATGAATTAAACCTATATATTAAAAAAGAAGAAGGAAAAAAAAAAAAACGTTCCACCCCTTGAGGCTGCTGGCACATAATCCCTACCCCACCCTCTGCCTCCTCGGCCCGGTCGAGTTGATAGAGACATCAAAGCTAACCAACACGGTGTCAAATGAGACGGGCAGCAAGTCGCAGGGGCCCGGCTGTAATTGGCTGAACTGAGAAGGAGGGTGAGACTGCTAGATTAATAATGAATGCGCTGTGCTGGGCTCAGGGAGAGGGAGAGAGGCCTCTGCTCTCCACAGGCAGATGTGCCAGAGTTTCAGAGGCGATGTGTTCTTCCTCGTCACGTACAGAAACTCCTCAGCAGCACAAGTTTCATGCCTGGACTCCTGGCTGCTTTAAAACGGGTTACGTCTTCTGAGATGGGACAAAAGTGCACTTTATTTTTAGCTCACAGAACATCTCAGGAAAGTAAAACTATTTTAAAATTTTTAAAAGTGCATAATGAGACCCAGACCATAGAAAAAACGCTTCTCGTTCAGTTGTGAGTTATTGATGTGTGCAATTGGGCTCCCTACCCAGAGTGCCATCAAATTGAGGGGTGGCAAAAGCACAAATCAAAGATAAATTTTCTGTTGTTTTTAAGCACCGATTTTGATTCAACATCTTAGACTCGGTGTTAAATCAAAAGGCCGTTTCACTTTTCAAGGACAGCATTTGGTCACTGTTCATATTGCAAAACATACTGAATTATTCCACTCAAGAGTCATTGGATATTTATTGTGTGAAAACTCTTCATAGGATCACTTTAGATTGGGGGAAGTGCTAAGACTGGTAAAACTTGGACTAAATTATTGTACATTCATTATTGAATCTCTGAAACCTTCATATAGAAATGAAGAGAGGGTTATTCATCTGAGCGGCATTGATACAAAGACGATTTAAGAGTAGTGCAAATTAATAAACATTTGTATTAATTCAAGTTATGTGGTAATTTGATTGCATGCAAAGTATGTATTAAAAGGGACACTTAAGCAGCTTGAAAGTTAATGGTTTATCAGAGCTTCCATGGCAACACTCACTTCTCTGCAGCAATTTCCTCAAACGTGAAACGTACTGTTATACATTTTTACATTTATCAGATAAGATGGGAATTTGCTGATGAGCCTAATCAGATTCCACGGTGAAGTTGTGCCAATGCAGCCGGAGCTTGATCCCCTGGTATAAAGACAATGGAACTAAAACATTTGAAGGGTATTGTCGAAGTTGTTTTTATTCCCTGTGTTACACAAACCTGTGTGAAACGTACCTAAAAATGTTTGTCTTTCTATTAGCTTGAGAAGACAAAAAAAAAAACTTCAGTTCTTTGACCTCATCTGACTTTTTACCAGCGTGCCTTTTTTCATGTCTGCTTGCAAATTTTACCATAAATTATTAATCGTGTTGAAATCTGGACTGTTTTCAGGCCATCCAGTGGAGCTCATCTACATTTTCTGAAGAAATGCTTTCTCACTCAGTTTATGTCCCAGACAAATGACTTCATCACCAAGTTTTTTCAGGCTAATGGACTGAAAAAAGAAAATTCCTAAAATTCCCCTTAAATCCATACAAAGACCATGACTCAAAAGGTGGACAGAGTTTTTTGTTTGTTTTGTTTTGTCAGGTTGCGACAGGTAAACCATCAAATGAATAGACCTCTTTTGCCTCTGTTTTACCACCTGTATTTAATTTACATATTGGTATAAACCATCCAAACATGGAGCCCTTTCTCATAGAAGTTATTTTGATAAGTCCCTAACAGAAAAGCACAGACGATGCAAATATTTTTTGATCCAGTTTCCATTAAGCTGGTGCACCTCATTTGTCTATCTTGCGCCTCCTCATCTGCTCTTCTGATGTTAGTGAAAATGCAACATGGGAGCTATCTTAGTTCCCAAAATATTAAAACCACATTCTTTTTTTTTTTTTTTTTACAATTTGATCCTGTAAGGATATCTCATGTAATATTAAAGCAACACCAGGTTAAGAGGCCCTGCTTCAAAGCCCTGCTTCCTCTCTGTTCGTTTTTGCCCTCGTTTTTCTGCTCGTGTCTCTGTTAGCTGCCTGGGTCTGAGACGCCGCAGAGGAATTTTAGGATGTGCAATTAGGGAAATGAGATAAGAGGAGCATCTCTGTAAGCTCTGACACAGAGCAAGAAAGCAAAAGAATCCCTAAGTGACCTCATCTGAATCAGACCCAACATTATTCTTTTAGTAAATAAAAAGTCTAAATCTAAACTTTTAGACGTTTTATGTAACAAGCAAAGTTTAATGTATTTTATTGGGATCTTCCAGGCTGGTGTGTGTTGGGACTGATTTTTTTCTTTTTTTTTTTAATCTAATCTCAAGCTCATTAAAAAGCGATTTTAAAGTATTGTCACAAATTCTTAATATAATTTAGGTCTGGACTTTCTCTGGGCCATTCTAACACATTAAAATGAAAGCGCTTCTCCACCAGCTGTCTTTAACTCCATTCAGTTTCCCATCAGTCCTGACCCGTTTCTATATCGTTGCTGGAAAATAAATAAATAAATAAATAAATAAAGCATACCCACAGCATGATGCTGCCACCATCTTATTTCAAGGGTATGCATGATGGCATGCATACCCTTGCATAAACTATTTGCATGATGGCCCAAAATAAATACATGTTCTAACATAGTGTAGCTCTTGCTCTCTCTACATGAAGCCTTTCTTGCCTATGAGAAGAGAACATATAAAGTGAGTATTCATTTCTCCTTGAAGGCATGAAAACCCCATTCATGGTCAGCGAATCAGACTTTGCAAAAGAGAACCACTCACACTAAAACACAAAGAGATTTAAGTACAGTATTATGGCCAAATGAGGTGATGTTGGTGGTGGGTCAGTTTGGCCTACAAACACAAGATAAGCCATGGCTGGTAACCCCATTTCCCCTCCCATCTGTTGGTAGCAGTTGTAGAACATGGCTGCACTCACCAGGACCTGGCAACCCACCCCCACCAACCCCCTCCATCCCAATCCTCCACCCCGCCCGAGCCTTGTTTCTCTGGCTCACCGCACAGCTGTGTTGCGTTTGGATTAGGCCAAGAATAAAACAGGAAGTAGAAATTAAACAAAAGCTCACTCACACACACACACACACATACACGGACACGCGCACAGGCTCCGTAAGTTACCAAACGACTCGGCAGCAGCACGAGTGACAGCCTGTGGAAAAAGAAAAAGAAATAAAAAAGAAATGCACACCCCCACACGTGTGGACCAGGACTCTCACAGATACACACAGTATATATACACCGGGGCAGCAATAAAGTCAGGCTCTGCCTCCAACACACTAACACGAGCCCAGGCGGGACCACAGGCATATCATTTCTCTGTGCCCACACATATGATCTTTTTACATGCTAACTGCTCTCCTCCTCCTCTTCATG